GTATCACGTTTCAATTCGCCGCACGCAACGCCACCTCGCTGAATACAATCGAAAACATACATTTTATAGTAATATATGATGAAATAGAAAGTAATTTGGCGCAAATTAATGTAATTTGGTGCAAATTTATAATTATGCAAATAAATACAACAGCACAACGCATGTTTATGAGCCTACAACGTATATTTATACTTGTTAATTAAAAAGTCAAACTGTCAAACCTTTAACTTGTCCTTGTTTACTTCCACTATATTGTATAAATTCGCTGGGTCCAAAATTTGGGGTTTTCGAGCCGTTACACAAAGAAAAACACACTAATTCAACACGCAAGAAAGGCCAGCCGGAGTGCGACATACCATAAAATCCATAGGAAACCGGCACTGAATTCTTTGAAAATTCAACGAAACTGTGTGAAATATATATTAGATCGCTCAGTGAAAAGCCGCCATTTTGAAACTGAACTGAATTTGTCACTGGAGCACGTTGCACCCTGAGCCTGCGATGACTTAACGCAAACTCCATTTGTCGTCGAAAACAGAAAAAGAGGGATTTAAGACTCTTGGCCTACAGGCCAGTGTAATAAAGTTTTGAAAAACTGTCAAAATTCTATGAGTATGGATCATTGACATATATATGATTTCAATGTAAGTGTTAACTTCTATATATATTGTTTATTGTTTAAATTTGGATGCTATATATATGTCAATGGTATGAATTGTGACAACACCTGCTATCCTGACTCTATGGCATCTAAAATGTTTTGCATATATCGATTATATGGCGATGATAAAGAAGATTGTCAAGTTATCAGTGTGACATCCCAGTTTATGTATCAACATTATGATGTCACAACTCAGGTGACCTATTAAGGAAACCTTTGTTACTGTTATGGTAATAATCCGAAATACTACTGCAAGTGGAATTTATAGCAGCTATTTCATTCAATATGAAAACTAGACCTGAAAACTTTGTTCTACTGTATATAATATATGCTAGTGATATTAATTTTAAAAGTATTGTATTTTGTGCAAGTGTAGTATTGTTTGAATGGAATTTGTATTTCGTGACTGCATGATTATTGGTTGTCTGGAAAACGCGTGCACGTACACGCGTACACGTACACGCGTACATGGAAAACGCGTACATGGAAAACGCGTACATGGAAAACGCGTACATGGAAAACGCGTACATGGAAAACAATGTTCATTTGTAACGTTAATTAAAACTTGGTGGTTTTATTGGAAGTCCTCCTGCAGACCTAGTGATTGTGTCAATGATGGTCAGATCATGGCCTCCGTGAAGGACAACTTCACAGTGGACTACGTAATGTT